TCACAGTAGAATCTTTTCTGTAGTTTTATGCATTAACAAAGGATAGGCAAGAAGATGAACAGATCATTAGCCAATTTTACAGCCTATAAATAATTAAATTGTTAGTTAAACCCAGTTCATGCCTCGAGGAACCTGGGCATTAAAGAGGTTTGACTTTAGGTTTTGACAAACCTGGGTTTGGATCTGGGCTCTGCTAAGTCATAGCTACGTAAGCCTGGGCAAAATGGCCTCTTGAGCATCAGCATCCCCTTTTGTAAAATGAGGCCAATTTATAAGGATGTTGATTAAAGGAAATACATAGTGTATCTCAAAAACTAAGCATGTAGTAAGTGGTTATTCCACAAATGTTACCCCTACTCTCCCATGTTACCCAGACTTTTGAGTCTCTTGACTTCATGTCTTCCCGCCATCTCTGATCATTGCTGTTGCTTTTTGGTTCAGTGCCCCTCACCCTTTAGAGACTGGTCTCTTGCCCATATTCTCAGTCTCTCTGTTTCATCTGTCCAATACATTGAGCCCACAGGGATGTTTTTAAAACATAAATCTGACTGTTCAAATTTATTATCTGATTTTTACTTTCCAGCTTTACTGATCTGGAATTGGTTGATGGATGGACTTACGGATTTTTTAAACTTAAATATATTATCTGTTGTATCTCATATGATTTCATGATATATTCCAAGCAGTGTGCTTAATTAATTGAATACATTAAAAATAAGGTTGTTTAATGCAGAATGAATGTATACATGGTGGCGGGAGGAGTGGAATTGGGGTTGAAGTCGACAGTCCACAGCAGATTCAGAAGGAGCAGCAATTTGCCTTTGTATAACATTTTTTATTGAGGATTCCAGTTCTGTTATGTCTTTTGACTGCTGTTAGGTCCAGCTTTGATAAATAGGAAGTATGAATTATTAGATGCTCACAATAAAATTTAAAATCCAGAAATTTATAATCCTATTGAAATGCATTTGATGTCTTATCAAATTTCCTATGCACATCCTTGCTGTAATGAACCCTTGGTTACTGATCTTTCTTTTTGAACTTATTTTTGTATTGAATTCTGCATATTTGTTACTGTTTCTGCTGTGATAGAGTTTGGTTCCTGTGAGGGGGAAATGATACATTCCTTAATTCTGATATTTTATAGACAAATATTAAAAACTCTGAAAAGCTTTGTGGATGTATTGAAAATCCCAGAGGAGCTCCCCCCCGTTTTGTGTGTTCCAGAATATTTATGAGTATTTTGGGGGGTCCTCTGTTTATATGTCTCTGTAGCCTATTGGAAACAGTTTTACTGTTTTAACCTGTATCTAACTTTCAAGACATTTATATGTGTTTTTAAAAATCCATTATCATTAAATTACAAAGTGATTCCTATTTTAAAAGATAGGATCCTTCAATGTCTGTTAGGTGCGAGTTACCATGGCAACCCAATAGCAAACTGCAAATCCCAGACTAAGCACAGCAAATAAAAAACATGTAGTCCGCTATCTTCTTTGTAGTGTAGAACCTCACATTCATTGTAAGAAGCTTATCACACTTAGCTTTGTGCAGTTCCCTCCCCACAATTTTATTTGAAAAATTGCCATTATCTGCGAATGGTAAAATACTAAAATCAGTCAGCTGATATCTGAGTGCCTGCAAACTAAGATCATGTATTAGACATTAATAAAAACAGTGTCTAAAAGGGCACTTAATATTGTGCAAACCAAAAAGTAATGTTTCTTCTTTGCTCTTCTATAAAAATGAACCACTGCTCAGTAATTGAGAGGATGGGTGAGAAAGAAGAAAGTGTTGGAGGAAAATGGCTTGAGGGTATTCTAGAGAATTTAAATTAGCGACAAGGTGAAACTAATATATCTTGATGCTTGTTATTAAGTAATTTGAGGAATATATTTGATTTTTCAGTTTTGAGTTGCATAAGAGATTCAAAATAAACATTAAATTATTTGTTACAAAAAAGATGTTGGATATTATGTAATTGTGACTGTAATGCTAATATTGTTTCTAAAGACATTTGTTTAGGTTAAATGTCCTTTGAGTGACATAATTTATCATGATAAATTAGGTTCTTCATTGCCTTTAGGATAGGATTAAGTCCAAGTCCTTCAATGTTATTTACAACAGTTTTTATCAAACTTTAATATGGTTGTGAATCATCTGAGGTCTCCTTAAAATGAAGATTCTGATTCACTTGGTTTAGGGTGGGGCCTGAGACATTGGTTTTCTAACACATTCCCAGGAGATGTAGATGCTGTTTGCTGGTGCTTGGACTACACACTTTGAATATCCAATCTGCAAGTCATCCTGTGGTCAGCTTCTCTGCTGCTCCTACTTGTTTGCTGGCTCTGCCTTATAATTGATGACACTGTGTCATGGACTTGCTTACAGTACCCTCAACAGCAGCAGTTTGCAAAGTGTGGTCCACGCATCTATGAGACTCTTGCAAGGGTTTACAAGGTCAAAACTGTTTTGTAATAATAGTAAGATGTTATTTCCCCTTTCACTTTCATTCACTTTTGTTTGTACAGTGGAGTTTTCCAGAGGTTATGAGACATGTGATGTCATTGCTCTGAAGACTGATAGAATGTGTACATATATGTTATTTTAAAAGTTTAACAGTTTTAATTTATAATGTGGTAAATATTGATAGATATAAACAAAAGTTCTTTGAGTACCGTAGTACTTTTTGAGATACCATGACCTTTGAGAACTGCTGCCCTATAGTATTGGGCCATTGACACAGACTAATCTAGAACTTACTGGAGCTCTTTCCTTAGCCACAGTGACTGCCAAGCCAGAGTGGGAGTTTAAGCCCCCCACATGGCCACCTCTCTGGGCAGTGGTGAAAGGCCTCCTGTGACATCACGCAAGGGAGCGCGGGAGTAAGCAGCCCCCTGTTGGGTGGATGTCTCTGAGCTCTGGGTGATCTCCACTGCAGCCGTTGCCATGGCTCTCTGCTTAGCCTTGTCTGACACCAGCCCAGCTGGGACGTTGAGATGACTCCTTATAGCCTCACCAGGGTGAAAGTCCAGGTTGCCCACTTGGCCTTTGCTGGTGTGGGGGTGAGCGGCACAGTTTTTTCAGTAGTATTTAGCTGGAGTAGATCAATTCTTGACTGAAAATTATGTGTCTTATTAGGCCCTTTTCCTGATCCTTTGGCTAGAGAGAACAGCTTTCCTTAGTTCCATCCTATCTCTCACCTCCCTACACCTACTCCTGTTGGTGTTTCCCTAGGTTCTGTCTTCTCCAAATCTGAGAAATTGAAGCAAAACAAAAACACAGGGAAATCACCAGAGTGTCATTCCTTGGGTGCTGAGGTCCCTACACAATCAGTCTCATGTTTGTTTTATAAATAACTTTCAAGGTTTTTAAGTTTACCAAGCAGGAGGAATAGGGGAAAGTACACCTGTTCCATCTTCATGGAAGCGGAAGGCTCTCTTTGCTTTTGTAAACTTGTACTGTGGGAGCATTCTAGTCCCACTGAATATCCCTGATATTTGATTGTATAAAAATAAAATGTGAATAAATATTAAAATATTCCCATAGAAGGAAAACTAGGTTTGATAGAGCAAAGAACTAGTTTTGGGAGGAAATGTTTAAAATTTAATGAAATAGAATTTTCATAAAGGAGTCATGATTATAATTGAAGATTTTACAAAATATAAGGTGATTTTGTGTAGTAAATTTGGGGCTTTAAGTTATCAATATTTTGGAAAATAAAATTTTGGAAAATTTGATTCAGGAAGATACAGTGGACCTGTAAAAACCAATATACGAGATAGAAATTGAGATGATTTCATAAAATTAACTTAAAACAGTCTCCACTGTCTAATAGCTCTAAGCCTAGTTCTTTCTCATTTTCAAAAAGCATTTAAATGTCGTGCTCTAGAGGTGATTTCAGAACATTAAAAGCATGGGAGAACTATTCATTTAATTTAATGAATTGTCATTAATAACAGACTTGACAAAGATTGTTCTTCAAAACACTTCCCCAAAAATATGTACAGGTATTTGGTATTTCTGAAATTGTTTCTGTCAATATAAGTTTGGAAAGCACTGATTAAAAAAAAAAATCACTGTATGAATGTCTTTCCCTCGCCCTCCCTTTCTCTTCTGCATTCCTCCTCTAGAGCCCCTGTCCTGTTTCTGCACAGCCACTTCATGCTCTCTGCAGCACGGCTCCACTAGCCCCTCACCCTCCCAGCACGCACATGCACTTAGTACTGGCTTTCCTGACCTGTGTTCATGTCATTTCTTCTAGGGAGGGCTGACTGGAGTCTTTCAGTCCAGATTCATAACAGAGAAAATCTCATTTAATGTGCTGCTGCCCAGGTACCTGGTACACACAGGGTTGCTATGGTATAGTACTTGAGGGACTGAAATGGATTGAGACGAGAACTATTCTCATTCTTTTCTTGTATCTTAAAAGTTTTTGATTACCTTTGTCAATGATTTTTTCTTTATTTATTCGGCAGACAGTTATTAGGTCCTTTTGAGGTCTTAAATGTATTTTAAAGAGAAAAATGAAAGCAGCCATCAGAGTAGTCATTTAATTTCAGTCACAGACTGTCAGCTTTGACTTGAGGTGCAGTATTCATATGTTTAGAAAATCTTGTATAATTTTAGATATATTCATTTTCCAGGTTTACATTTTATAGTCTATTGGTAAAAAATAGTCAGTCAGTATGGACTTTCTTTAGAGAACCGGTAAGGGAAATTACTGGTGCTAGGCAACACTGCTTCAAACTATACTTCCTTGGGAAAATAATTTAAAATTAAAAGTTTTATCTAATTGACTGTTACTCTATATCATGTAAAAGTTGCTTGATGCTCTGGAATAATTTCATCTCTAATGGTGTCATCTCTAATATATCTAGGAAACTAGAAACCACAGTTACACAAGATCTTTTACTTTTTGTGAGTTTAGGAGTAAAAGCACTTAGGCCCATAGCAGTAAAGTCTGAGCCATGAATAACAGAAGGTAAGACCAACTAGGTATAATATATGAAGGTGATTTAAAAATACACACACATTTGTTACCTTATACCTCTATAGGTAAGAAGTCTGACATGTCTCCTGGGCTAAAATCAAGGTGGCAGTAGGGCTGTGTTTCTTTCTGGAAGCTCTAGTGCAGAATCTGTTTCCTTTTTAGCCTCTTGTGACCACCTGCATTCTTTAGCTCCTGGACCTCTTTCTCCATTCAGATGATATTTTTACATTTTTAAAGTAAAAATGTATGAGCATAATACTTAAAACTTAAGCTTTGGTTTAAGTTTAATGTATGTGGAACAGTCATAAGGATACTATACATGATTTATATCCTTGTTATTAAATATTTTAATATTCAGACCTGATGGCCAAAAGAAAGGAAGAGAATTTCTGCTCTCCTGAAAATGCCAAAAGACCAAGACTAGAAGAGATGGAGGATTTTGATAGAGATGGTGATGATGAACGTACAGTTTCTTTCACTAATGGTACCTCTACTTTGGTAAGTACAGGATTACAAAACTGTTTTTTGATTGGCATCTTTCTCATGTCTGGTTTTTATGTCATAGTCCTGATAATTCAATATCAAGAAAAACAATATGACTTTTAAAAAGCTGAGGCAAACTTGAGAAATTATGAAGTTTTTGTTAGACAAAATTAGTAGAGAAAAACAATGATGCAAAGAGCTCGTTCTTTGGAAAGAGCATTAAAATGGACAAGCCACTGATGAGAATGAAAGATGGAATAAAATGATACAGCCACTGTGGGAAATAGTTTCTCACAGTACGCAGGACAGCTCTCCTCTAACAGAAAGTTACTGGACTCAGAATATTAGTATTGTTTGTACTAAGAAACCCTGTGATAGACTTATTAGAAGACACAGATTACCACTGTCAATAGGTATGAACACGGTAGCTGTGACCAGACCCTGCAAACATCAAAGGGATGGTAAGGGAATACTGTTCACAGCTCTACCCACAGAAACCCGACAACTTAGATGGTGTGGACCCATTCCTGAAGAAGCACACAGTGCCGCAATTTACCCAGTGAAATAGTGCGAATCACTCTGCAACTATTAATGAAATTTAACTCATTGTTTAAAAATTCCTGATAAAGAAATCTTCAGGCCCAATTGTTTTGACTGGAGAATTGTACCAGATGTTTAAAGAAGAATTAATATTAATTCTACACAGTCATTTCCAGAAAATAGAAGAGGGAACACTTTCCAATTCATTATCTTGATACCAAAACCAGACAAACAGGGCACTAATAAAGCAAACTATAGACCAATATACGTCATGAATACGGACTCGGAAATCCTTAACACATTATCAGCAAAATAGAAAGAGAAATCTACACCATCATCAAGTGTGGTTTTTTCTAGGTATACAAGCCTGGTTCAATATCTGGAAATGAGTCAGTGTAACTCACCATTTTAACAGGCTAAAGAAGAAAAATCACATGATCATATCACTTGATACAGAAAAAAGTTGACAAAAATCAAATACTCATGTTTAAAATTCTCAGGAAGTAGGAAGAAAGGGAAGTTCCTCAACTCGATAAGGAGCATTGACAAAAAACCTACAGCTAATACCATACTCATTGGTGAAACACTGAGCTGTCTTTTTCTGAAGATCAGGAACAAGGCAGAAATATGTGTTCACCACAGTTATTTAACATAGTTCTGGGACACCTAGCCATGGTATTAAACAAGAAAAGGAATCAACAGGTATATAGGTTAGAAAGGGAAAAGTAAAACTGCCACTGTTTGCAGATGACCTGATTGTCTACATAGAAAATCTCAAGGAATCTCTAGAAAATCCCTCCTAGAACTAATTAGTGTGTTCAGCAAGGTTGCAGGATATAAGAGAAACATTTTCTTAAAAAAGTCAATTTTCATATACTAGCATTGAACACAGGAATATTGAAATTCAAAATATAATACCGTTTACAATTGCTAAAAAAAAAAAAGGTGAAATACTTAGGTCTAAATCTAACAGAATATGCACAGGACTTATATGCACAGGACATATACTGATGAAATGGATCAAAGAAGAACTAAATGGATGGAGAGGCGTACTGTGTTCACGGACTAGAAGGCTCTCCAGAGAAAAGATGTCAGTTCTCAAAATTGCTATGTAGGTTTAATGCAATTTCTATCAATATGCTAGTAAGATTTTTTTTTACAGATACTGACAAATTTATTCTGTAACTTCTATGAAAAGTCAAAGGAACTAGTATAGATAAAACAGTTTTGAAAAAGAAGAATAAAGTGGGAGGAATCAGTCTATGTTATTTCAGGACTTAAGATATACCTACAATGATCAAAACTGTGTCCTATTGGTGTAGGGATAAACTTATAGATCAGTGGAACAAAACAGAATCCCAAAAGAGCCACACAAATCAAGATAAAACCTTTATTTTGACAAAGGTACATAAAGGCAATTCAGTAGAGGAGAGAGAGCCTTTCTAACAAGTGTACTGGAGCAATTCGACATCCATAGGCAAAAAAGTAAACCTCACACCTGATATAGAGATTAACTCGCAATTGGGTAACAGACTTAATTGTAAAACATAAAATTATAAAACTTTTAGAAACATATAGGACAAATCTTTGGGATCTAGGACTCGGCAGAGAATTCTTAGACTTGACACCAAGCCCACAAGCCATAAAATGGGGGAAAATGATAAATTGAACCTCAGGAAAATTAAAAACGTCTGCAAAAGACCCTGTTAGGATGAAAAGTCAAACTATAGGAGAAAATGTTTACAAACCACATATCTGACAAAGTTGTAGTATCTTGTATATATAAAGAACTCTCAAAATTTAACATTTAAAAGCAAATAATTCAATATGAGAATGGACAGAACACATAAAGAGACATTTCTCTGAAGTGCAGGATATATAGATGGCAAATAAGAACCTCACATGATGTACAACCTCACTTGTCATCAGGGAAATACAAATCAAGCCACAACGAGAGAGTACAACACACCCATTAGAATGGCTAAAATTGAAAAAAAAATGACCACACCGAATGCTGACAAGTATGCAGAAAAACGATCATTCCTATATTGCTGGTAGGAATGTAAAATGATACAGCTACTCTGGGAAGTAGTTTCCTATAATGCACCAGACAGCCCTCCAACAAAAAATTATCTGAGTCAAAATACTAGTATTATTTATATTCAGAAACATTGTGATATACTTATTAGATTCTTTAAGAACTTTCGAATGAGTAGTTACTCATACAAGAGTCCCATTTAATTTCATTTCACATGTTTGAAGTTAACATTCATTTTCTGTAACTTTTTTCATTGGTAACTGCTGATCTTTCTCCTGCTGTAATGTTTGGATGATTATAGTGAGTGAATTGGACCAATTGTCTTCTCCCATTGTTTTTTAATAGACTGCAGCAGAAGTTGGAATAATTGAGAGTATTCAGCTAAAAAACTTCATGTGCCATTCAATGCTTGGACCCTTTAAATTTGGCTCCAATGTTAACTTCGTCGTTGGCAACAATGGAAGTAAGTGCATTCGTTTTCTTTTGTATTTGACTTTGAGCACTGCATTGAGATTAGAATGCGTTAACTTTAAAAACAGGTGACTGTCAGTGCTGATAAATCTAAGCTTTACGTCTGTCACTTGTGGTCATGAATATTTTCAGTGTTTGCTGTCATTCTGCACATTAAGAAGATAATGAGTTAACTCTAGGTTTATTATTTATGCGATAGAGGTAAACGTTTCCTGCTTACTCTTTTGAATCTATTTACCTTGGAATTTACATCATAGAAGAGTGGACAAGCTATCCTTATTGTAATTGAGGCAGCTCTGTCTATTAAACAGCTATTAAATGTTGTAACAGAGCATAAATAAAGTGCCATGGGCATCCAGACATGAAACTACTTCTCATTCTTGTGACCAGTGAAAGCATTAAGATGAGCTGGTATTTATGGTGGTACTTTGTCCCCTTGGGGAAGAAGCTGAAACGTTCCAGGCAAAGATTGCTCATCAGCTTGGGTTTGGGGCGGGGGGGTGAGAAGTCGATGCGTGTAGAGAGAGAGGTGAACAGCCCTGTGTGGCGTTATCGTATCATGCATTGTAGTGGGGGGCAGGAGCTTACACTGGAGAGTCATGTAGGTGATTGTTGAGGATCTTGGATGCCATGGTAAAGATTTGGGGGTTTTATTCAGAAGTCAGTGGGGAACCAATTAAAGTTTTTGAGTGAAGTGGTGACATGATCAAGATGGTGAAACACACTGGCCACACTGTGGAGAATAGATTAGAAGCGGGGAGACACAGGCATTAGAAAGACCGTTGAGGTAACTTCTGTGATAGACCAGCCAGGCCTGAGGCATTGCCAGCTTGACTGAGCCAGCGCACAGGGAGGGAAGGCTTGCCAGAGCCTGCAACTGGTAACGCTGCTAGGACATCAGGTCTGTGTAGTTCCACAGCCTGTTCAGTTCTTTGTTTTCCCTACTCTGTATTCAGCCAAGAGGAAAATGTTTTCAGGAGAGACTGGATAGAGGGATCGGTGCTACACGGAGGTCACATAGGTCAGTAAGTGAAGAAAGACTAGTGGGTTTTGCCATTAGGTCCTTTCTTATTTTTAACTTTTGAAACAGTGATTTTACTAGTAAAACTTAAGAAGAAATAATGCAAGTAGTGGAGTCAGTGAATTTGGAAGTGAAGGAAAAGGAGAGAGTTAGAATAGGGACTTGAAAGGCATTGCAGGACTAAGAAGTGTAAGGTTAGTTCTAAGTGTAAGGTTAGTTAAGTGGTGGTGTATTTTAGTTAATTTGGACTTTATTGTGGAAGGTGATGGGCTGGTAAGAGTTGATTGAATCGGTTGATCATGAAATTCATTAAATGTTTACCATGTTCTGGATAATTGTAGAGTTTGGAATTTCAGCTTGTGATATTTTATGTATGAGTGGGTAAAAAGAAATACACTTTCAAAGAGCTAGGTGATGAATAGTATTCAAATTAGGAGTAATAATTATCCAATATTATATAAAACATTTATTTATATGACTGGTACATTTTTCATATTTAAGTTCATTCATGGGAGTGCCTATTATGGGCAGATATTGGGGACAAAGCATTGAATGAAGTCAACGACATTCCTGTCTCTATGGAACTTGAATTTAAGGGTTGTTGAAAATAGTTTCTGGCCTGGCCGGGTATGGCTAAGCAGTTGAGCGTCGACCTAGGATCCAGGCGATTGGGGTTCGATTCCTAGTCAGAGCACATTCCCGGGTTGCGGGCTTATCCCCAGTCGGGGGGCGTACAGGAGGCAGCCGATCAATGACTCTCTCATCATTGATGTTTCTATCTCTTCCTCTCCCTCTCCTTTCCTCTCTCTGAAATCAATAAAGATATATTTAAAGAAAATACTTTCTGACTTCTAAGAACTTATGGAAAAAATAAGTTTTAATTAACTTAGAATATAATAAAAATTAGATGAGTTAAGTATGTATGTATAGTTAGATAGTTCATTGCATAGGCTGATGGGCCAAGGTACAATGGGATTTTTAGGTTGGAAAGGTGGCAGCCATTTTTTTCATTTTGTTATTAGTGGCAAAAATGTAATTCCTAAAATATACTAATTTTCCTAATGGCATCAGCTAAATATTTTATTATATGTGCAACTTTTTAAAAATTATTTACTACTTTGGCACTGGAAGAAAATTATAATTGAAGTGTAACGTTTCAGGGTTAGGCTAATTCACATTTTCATTCCAAAAATTTTTACATCAAATTGTAGAGCTAGCCTTTCATTTTCTCTCACCAATGAATGTGATTTCTTCAACATCTGTTTCTTTAGGTGGGAAGAGCGCAGTACTCACAGCTCTCATAGTCGGTCTTGGTGGAAAAGCAATCGCAACTAACAGAGGATCTTCTTTAAAAGGTTTTGTGAAAGATGGACAGAAGTAAGTGTTTGCTTTCAACCTGTATTTTTCAGGGTTTTCGTAATAGCAGGTTCTTTAGATTCCCGTTCATGTAGACATTGCAGGGAATCAATTGGCTTCCCAGAACTGGAGCAGAGGAATCACATCTTTTCATTCCTTTCTCTTGCCCCTGTTCCCACCATGGCCCACTGTTGCCTGTCATCCTCTCCAGACAGAAAGCTTGTGCAAGTTATTGCCACGCGCCTGCCTGCCTACACCTTTATTTCTGTTACCTTTCTGGAAGAACGAGCAGTGATAAACCTACATACTTGTGTTTAAAGCAATATTTATAAACATTGGACTTTCCTGACTCTTGTTCCAAATGCAACTTGAAGTCAATGTTGATGTGACACAGGTGAAAGCAGAGTCCATGACCATCCAAGGTGTCCCTGCACAAGATTTCTGCCTCTAGCTCTTTAAGAATTCCAAAAGAGTGTTCTACTTTGTCTCTGATTGTATATTCTTTACCCAGGTGATTCAGCAGTGATTTTGATTTGAGGACCACAATCACAAGTCTGTTTGTGGTCCATCCTGACCCTTGGTGATCTGTAACTGCCCACTTTGGCTTCAAGTTTATATTTATTTTTGTTAACAACTTGCCTTCACATACCTATATAGTAACTGCCCGGTTTACATCATCATAGACTCATGGCCTTTTGCCCATTAGGAGCTCTGTTCAGGATGATGTTATTATTTTTTTAATAGTGCCTCAGATAGCTCAGTAGGGACCTCGTTTCTCCTGGCAACTAGACGTCCCAGACTCTCATAGCTCCCGGAGTGAGGCTACTTCCACTGCTCATTCCTCTCACATGCCCAGTGCCCAGACCATCGGGAACTGGATAATTAACAGTGATGTCTTTTTTCTCTTATAACAGACTTTCCTCCGCTCAGTGTCATATCTGTTTAACTTCTTCCATTTTATTACTAAAAAAATAGAACAGGGAGGATGTGAATCAGGACTGCAGTTTCTTATGTATCTCTCAGAAACCTTAGGAATCTGAACTCTGAGCCAGGGTTCCAAGTTGACTCAGGAGAAGCAGGGGAAGGATACACAGTAAACGGTTTCCCATGCTGTGTGACCTTGGAAAAGAACTGTTTGGTAAGAATTCTCCCAGCATATTTTTTGTCTCTACTTATCTTATTTGGGCCCCAGCCCAGCAAGCTCATCTGCCCAACAGTCCCCAAACAAAATTATGTCTGAAGTAAAAAATTAGTTATTTTTTTAACACTTTTAAGTTAATAGTCTCAACTCAGTTTTAATTCATTACACTTAACTACACATTTCTTAGTTGCCCAGATAATCACCTTGTCTACCTAGCCAGATAACACACTGATCTTTCAAATAGAAGCTTCAGGAAGAAATTACTTTTTTTGTATCATTAAATGTTTTATGACTCAAATTATTTTTTTCCCATTTGGGAGGTACCTGGACCAAAGCAGAAACTCTTTCTGGGGCTTGCCCTTGGAATACCATTAAAAGGAATAAAGGAAGGGCTAACTTACACAATCACCAGCTTTTGAGGACACAGCTGTCTGTAGACAGGAACATCAATATATTTTAAACAGAGTTAATAACAGTTAAAAGCTTTAATGTGGGCTCAGTCTCCTTTTTACTGACCTTGTCTGAGAAAGTAGCTATAAACAGCTTTTCCAGACCCATTACTATTACTATTCCTGTCATCCCTTTCCTCATTTAAAACATTTGGTATCTGTAAAATTCCCCTTAATTTACAGTATCTTGTTCTGTCATCATGTTTTTACAGAATCAGCTCACTGAGCTACTGAGCTTTTCAGTTCTATTTGTAGTCTGTTCTACATCTAAAATCTATGTGGCTATCCCACTGTGTCTGAGGAATGGCCTTGTCTGGCACAGGTGTGAGGTGGCCTCAGGACTCTCTCCCTCCACACCGCCTCATTGTGTCAAACATTATACTCTCCATTTGTGACATCTGAGCTGTCTTAGAGATGCTTGCCCAGCATGGTTAGGAGACCCCAGAGAACTGTGCCTTAAGACCCTTTACATGGGGCTCAGCCCATCCACCAGCCCTTTTTCAGTTACATGGGGACAGTGAATCCATTCTCCTCTGATTCATCTCCCATGGAAACCTCTCACAGTGACCTCAGGTCTTGTGCCCCTGACTGTTCAGGTTCTTCTTGAACATGATCAGTTCACTGTTGCCTTCCTCGGCCTTCCTGGTTCAGTCCTGGTGGCATTGGGATCTTCACATCAGTCCTGTTTTGCCATCAGCTGTGGCACTGGGAGTGGGTTATGGAAGGCCCAAAACTCTAGGTTACAGAAGTTACTGCAGATGAGCTGGTTACCCAGAGAAGGAACAGATGCATTGTATTTTCACATGGCTTTTTCCTTGGTCTTCGATCCCGTCAGTGTGTGATGCCAGTTACCTTTGTGGGGATAGGTTCACCCAGAGTTGAGAAAAGCCACATGCTTACCATGGCACTGCTTGTGTTGTCATTCTGAAAGAACTCTCATTGATAGTTGTCTCTCTTTTCACTTAAGCATCTCCCATACTTACAGATACTGGGCTCTGTAGCCCTTGACCCAAATTCAGCATCAGCATTATCAGTGTGGTTGGGAAGGAGCAGTTAGTGCCCAGCTCAGTTCTCTCTCCTTTTACAGGTTTTTTGAGCACTGAGGCTTTTTTCTTAACCCTTAATTTTTTGAATAACTTGACTTATATTTATTTAATTCATATAGCAACAGGATGTCAGTGCCTTCAAAGTTCTCACAATATTAAAGGTAGCTTTAAAATGCAAGCTATAACTAGGAATGAAAATAGTAAAGTAGATGTTTGCTAATCAAGAGAGACGTTTGATAATTCAGAGAGCATATGTAGTCACTTTATTTTAAAATGTTTTCATGAAGTACATTCACTTAATAATAGGTAATCATATTAGTTAATGAAACAAATATTTTTATTGCTCCATATTGTAGGTCAGCTGCTCATTCCCGATCATACTTCTTAGTTAATGGATTTCAATCTTGAGTCTTCGTTAGAATCAGCTCCGGGAGGTTGTAACAGTTCTGTTAATTACAACTTTGCAGAGCATATCTGTCTTCATTAGGTGTTTCTGAACAAAAGAAAACACATACACCAACCCACTTAGGGTAGCTTTTGAAAATGAGATTTATTGTGAAGATGCAGGGATATATGTCTTGGAAGCTTCCGGGAGGAAGTACAGTTGGGTCTCATGAGTGACCTGAGATAGGAGACCTTGGAACCAAGTGTCTTCTGCCTCTGGGTCTTTCTTTTTCCTGTCTCTGGTTTTCTCTCTGTGCATTTGTCTCTAGGCAGGTAGTCTCCCTTCCTTCAGGCCCATGTGGCACTCCTCTGTGCCACCTCCCCACCCTCCTCACCTAATTGACTGTGTACGTCCCCTCCTCCTAGTGACAAGAAGTGTGTGGGGAAGTGAGTGTCTCTCTCATTGTCTCTGAAGCATGTGTTCTCTTATTATTTAACAAATGTGTTTCTATTACAGTATAGATAGAATAGTCAGTTCTTTTTTATGAAGCTTCCCTTATTCTCAACTTTAATTTTTTTGTTAGGTGTGACATCTTTAACATTATTCTGTAGTAGCCTATCAGCCACCAGCCTCAGGTGTATAGCGACTTTTCAAATGAATTAGCCAGATTACTTGGTAGTTTTGAAAATGTAGTAACCTAGTATTGTAATTGCACTGTACCTTCCTGTGACTTAACCTTATTGCTTTAGCTCAGCAGATATCTCAATAACATTAAGGAACAGAGGAGATGATGCCTACAGAGCAAATGTGTATGGAAACTCTATAGTGGTGCAACAGCACATCAGCATGGATGGAAGTCGATCTTATAAACTAAAAAGTGAATCAGGTTTGTCATGAATTTCTTTTCATTTCATATAAAATATTAGTAAATACCTAGTTTAAAAGAGTTAAGTGATTGTGCTGGTGTTTATTGAAAGGGTATGCCTATCTCTTGAACCCTCTTTCTCGTAAGGTGGTTTGTTGGTTGCATGCATACAAATATTATACGTTGTTGCACCACTGGACGTCTACAGCAGAACCACAGGTAGCAGAATTTGTGTGTGTTTGAAACAGGCTATGCCGTTTGTTCTCATCTGCAGACCTCCTTTCACCCCCAGTTTCTATCACGTGGAAAGAGGTGGTTAGCAGAAGGTGGGGAAGGACATAAAGGAAAGGGGGGTGTTTCAGAGTCACTGGAGGGAGAGATGAGAAGGAACAGAAAATGCTTAGCTGAGGGGAGAAGAGAAGCACAGTCATTGCATCTGTGGATCTTCCTCTGTGTACCTGTGTCCTGATTAGTGTACCACCCCAGTTCATTCAGACGTACGCATATTCAGTGATACCTTTCTTTTCTATTTTATTTTTAATTTTTGTTGTTAATCCTCACCTGAGGATATTTTTTCCATTGCTTTTTCAGAGAGAGTAGAAGGGAGGGAGGGAGGGGACAGAGAGAGAGAGAGAAACATCAATGTGAGAGAGACACGTTGATTGGCTGCCTCCTGCACACGCCTCCAGGGCCAGGAGAGAACCAGCAACTGAGGTTCATGCCCTTGAGGGGGAATCAAACCCGTGACCCTTCAGTGCCCAGGTCCACACTCTAACCACTGAGAACACCAGCCAGGGCCAATGGTACCTTTCTTGATGGCAATGAAAAGTAATTAATCTTTATAAATAATTGCTCAGTTTTTTCCTGTATTATTGCCCTAGAAACAGTCTGGCTGTTTTGTCTTTCTTATAACTAGGCACCGTGGTTTCTACTAGGAAAGAAGAGCTGATTGCAATTCTTGATCATTTTAACATACAGGTAATTGCTAAATTGTTATTTTATAGGTGGTAAAATGAAGTTTAAAACTTTTTTCATTTATACTGGCCCTACATATTGTATAACTTAGGAACAGAATTATTTTCTAACATACCAATTGCTTTATTACTAACACCAGAGATATAAAACATAAGACTCTGACTCTTTTTGAAATAGGTAATTTTTTTTAAAAAGTTTTTCAACTATAATTTGAACTGTTACTATACTTTACTATTACCTTAACTGTACTTTATTTAACTTGTTAGCCAGAGGTGGATTAATCCAAGCAATGGTTCATTTAAAATGACTCCCCTCTCTAAAAGATAGAAATGACTCCAGCATTTCCATTTCTTTTACAATGTCTTCATAAAGAAATAACAACAAATGGGAAATCTGAAAAACTGCTAGAAAAATAAACAATACTTATCGTAATGCTGATTAAAAAGAAACTGAGTTGCTCTTTTTGTACTTGGAGAAACTAACTAACTTGCCCAAGGCTACATAGGAGGGTAGAAAGAGAGCCCAAATAAGGTCTCAAGTCAGCTGACTCCCACGCTAGGGCTTTTTCCACCCTTGTCCAGTGGTTAACCAGTAGCCAGGAGAGATATTCTATGAAACAGATGAAAGAATGAAAGCTTTCTAATAAAAACACTTCTTCAAAGAACTCTTGTGCTTTTGCCCTCATGGGATAGCAGAATATTTAATTTTGACTATAGTATTATTTTAGTATCATGAAATATTGGAACACTTTCTATTATAACATTTTTCTTTGTATATTTACCCTAATGCTCTAACCGTTGGCTAGTATTTAGCCTGCTTGATGGCACAATAGGTCAGTTTTATTGTATATATTCAGTTCATTTATCTTTAAGGCATTAAAGTGACATACTCAAAAATAACCTTTTGTTGCTTGTTTGTATGTTTGTTTCAGGTGGATAATCCGGTTTCTGTTTTAACACAAGAGATGAGCAAGCAGTTTTTACAGTCTAAAAATGAGGGAGACAAATACAAAGTAAGGAGCACCAAGTAAATGTAAACTTAACAAATGAACACATTCATAAGTTAAGCATATATTCTGAACATAATTCTTGTTCACACAGTAAATATTGGGGTTTTTTATTTAGCCACCTATTTAAAGTAATTATTATAGGACTAATTTAGGAAGTTGTTAAGATGGTAAATTAACACTACCAAAAATGTTAATTTTTTTGTAAATTGTTGCTTCTACTCTCTGACCCTTAATTCTGAGGGAGGATGGGTTATTATTTTCTAAAACTAATCTGTAAGGAAATACAAATGACTGCGCACACATACATAGTAACTTTTAAAAAAAAATTATTAAATTTATTGGGTTGACATTGGTTAATAGGATCATATAGGTTTCAAGTGTGCATTTACATGGCACATGGTCTGTACATTGCATCGTGTGCCCACCCTCCAAAGTTAAGTCATCTTTCCTCACCATATTTGGCTCCCTTTGCCCTTTACCACCACTACCCCGCTCCCTGCGGTAACCATCACACTGTTGTCTGTGTCTATGAGTTTCAGTTTTATATCCCATATATGAGTGAAATCATATGATTCTTAGCTTCTTCTGTGTGAATAATAACTTTTATACCTTAAATTACTTAAAACTCAAAAAGCTAACAAAATTGTAACTACTACTAAAACTTTTGAATGGGGTTAGGCACTTATTTTTCTAAAAATTTACAGTGCACTAAGATAAAACATAAAAATGTTTTCTCTGTTTCCATATTTGCTTAAAGAAGGGGAATCAGTGAAAGTCAATGTTCAAAATTGTATTACTATCACAGCAAAAGTGCTTTCTTCTGTGGCGTTTTAAGACCTTTTGCAAATGAACTTGTAGATATGAACATAGTAGGTTAAGTAAATTTTGGGTCTGAAATAAGACATGTTCTTTTGTGTTTATTTGTATTTGCTCAATTAATTATGTTCTTCATGTTTTGTTTATATAATTGGTCTGAAAGTTTTGGAGACCCAATTTTCTTTTTACAATTCTATGGAAATTTGCAAACTCTTCATTGTGTTTTCCTTGTTGTTGATAGTTTTTCATGAAAGCAACCCAACTCGAACAGATGAAGGAAGATTATTCGTATATTATGGAAACAAAAGAAAGAACAAAGGAGCAGATAAATCAAGGAGAAGAGGTTTGTAAACACTTAATGCAGTTATTTTGAAATAATTCCTATAGGTCTTATAAATGGTATTGTAGAATTATGTACCTACATATATATATATATACACACACACACACACACACACACACACACACACACATATACATATTTGTCTATATAAAAGTAGTAACATTTTCAAAGCACTCTGAAGTATATGACATGTGGTTTTTATATTTAGGGTGTTTACTAGCCTTTACTTTTTGCTTTGTAATAATGGGTATGTACACATCTTGCTTCCTCTATTAGACTATAAACTGGAGGACGGCAATATCTTACATATTTATCCCTTAATGTACGAGCGATTGGTTCTACAATAAGATATCACTAGAGAAATAATAAGGAAGATGTTATCTTTGTCTAAAGAGATAATGATGATATAAGTTAGGGCTGTGGCAGCAGTAATGGAGAGAAGAGTTGAAATGCTTTGGGCAGATGTTATATAGTACCTGGAGGAGTAAAGTTGAGACAGAAGAGACATCAAGGGTGACAGAATGACACTTGAGCAGTAGAGTGAGTTTCTTAAGATAGGAAGCTTGGGAAGAGGAAGCAGTTTTTCCTTTCTTTTGAGAAAGATGGGGAATTCCATTTTGAACAAATTAATTTTGGGTTTCTTATAAAGCAGCCAAGTAGAAATGCAAAGTGGGAAGTTGAATGTATGAGTTAGGCACACAGAAGTCAAGCCTGGCCTGAGTAACAGGGAGTCATCAGTATAGTGTTGGTATCTAAGCCACAGGTGTTGTCTGAGACTGAGGAGTGAAAGAAATTGGGCCCAGGCCAGGCGCTAGCCATGAGAAATGCTCATGGAAGTCATAGAAGCCAAGGGAAGTGAAAATTTGAGAAGGAACTGGTCATGACTATACTGAGTGGGCAGACACCACAAGGTTTGACAAATATTTATATTTAGTGACATGATCTCTGTCAATGTCTGTGGCAAGACAAGTTTCTATAGTGATGAAACAGAAGACAGATTTGTGGGGCTAAAAATGTGAGGAAATGGAAGAGATAAAGATACTTTTCATGAAACACGGATGGAAAGAGGAGACTTTCGGAGGAGGAGGTGGCACCCAGGGATGGGTAGTGGTGGTTTTGTTTGTAAGTGGTGGTTATCTTTATAAGTGAATAAAAATCTAAATATGGTAAAGGAAAGGAGTCAGAGAGGAGAGCAAAGTGGAAACAAACATGAAAAGATGAGATGAAACATCAGCTAATGTATTTCTCCTGAGAAGGCAGGTGATGGTGGGATCAAAAATGCAGGTAGGCACTGGGGACTGGGCTCACAGATAATGAAGCCACCTCCTGTAGCAGAAGGAGGAGATGACTGCTTTAGATTTATAGACAAGGTGGTTGGAAGTTGGAGGTAATGTCTCTAATGACTACTAAGTTCTCTGAAGCAGAAGCAGGGAGAGCGAATGGAGAATTAGCGTGGCAGGTGCATGAGGTTTGAAGAGATGGACTGAAGTAATCCTGGAGAATGGGAAAGTGACTTGGATAGGGAAACACATAAGGTGAGCAGTGTAAGGCCCTAGTCGAACATGTAAGCCTGGATGAAGGGCAGCGGCTGTCCACCCAGGTGTACAGAATGTAAAGTATAGGAGCCACTTCAGAAGCTGTTGTAATGTCAGGTTCAGTATTTGTTTGATGATTTTATTTATTATTAAGAGAGAACTTGGATAAGAAAATTACACCTTATTTGATCTTTGGAAATAAGTCTCTTCCGAGCCTTCCAATATACTTGGAATGGGTAGGGAGTGTCCTTTGCCCAGAAAATGTATTGGTCTGTGCATCAGACCTGGGATAGAGGGAAAATGTAAGGGCTTCGCGGTCGTCTGTGCTTGTGTTGTCTTAACTCTTTTAGCCCGTTGCTCCTCCTCACCTGAGGACATCTGGCCGTCGTATAGGGCAGACATTAACAGACTTCTTGCACCTAGTAAAATATACCAGAGACCCAAAAATGTTTTTATTTTCACCTTAAAGAAGTCCTTTTCTAGCAAATCTTTTTTAGTACTCATTTAGGCAGTGTATTCAAAAGAAATACATTTGTAAAAAGTCTTTTCAGTGTTATCAAGAAATATGTTCTTTTTTTTAAAGCGACTTGTTGAACTGAAGCGCCAGTGTTTAGAGAAAGAAGAACGTTTTCAAATTATTGCTGGTTTAAGCACAATGAAGACAAATTTAGAATACTTGAAACATGAAATGGCTTGGGCAGTGGTAATTTTCACTTAATTATTTATTCACATATATTTGTATTATACAAAGTATATTTGGTTACAGTTAGTGATTTGCTATATAATTTTTTAGGTCAATGAAATTGAAAAACAATTGAATGCTATCAGAGATAATATCAAAATTGGAGAAGATCGTGCTGCTAGACTTGAAAGGAAAATGGAAGAACAGCAGGTAATTATAGTTCTTTTATTTATTTTTTTAATCGTTATTGATTTCAGAGAGAGGAAAGGAGAGGGAGAGAGAGACATAGAAACATCAATGATGAGAGAGTCATTGATCAGGCCCACAACCCGGGCATGTGCCCTGACCGGGAATCAAACCCCGATTGCCTGGATCTTAGGTCGATGCTCAACCGCTGAGCCACGCCCAGCCGGGCTGTTAGAGGATTTCTTATGGGTAAAATTCATGTGGTATAAGTTGTTAGGTCTTTTAAATTCATTTCAACCTGAGATCTAAGAGCCCAAGTAGAAACTATGTTATTTATCTAAGATTCAGGAAAGCCACAGAGTCTTCCACTTGGGCTTACAAGTAGAAGTTGGTTGAGTAGTAAATAAAGGCAGTCATTTTCTGTTGGGGTCATCCACATGGATCTTCTTACCATATAGCAGATCCACTCTTTATATTTGCCTTTCCATTTTTGTTTTTTTCTGGCAAAGTTTTTTTTTTGTTTTTTTTTAAATTCAAAATATTACAGATGTCTCTTTTTCTCCCCATTGACTCCTTTCACCCCCCTCCCCAGTCCCTCACCACATCATTGTCTGTGTCCTTGGGTTGTGCATATATACATATAAGTTCTTTGGTTAATCCCTCCCCCTCCACCCACTCGCCCCCCTCCATCCCTCTGAGATTTGTCAGTCTGATCTATGCTTCCACGTCGCTGAGTCATTTCTGGATTTTTAAACAGTTTTATATAATCCATATACCGTACAATTCACCCATGCAAAATTTACAGGCCAGTGGTATTTTTGTATGTTCACAAGAGTGTACAGCCAGCACTATGGAATTCCTCACACACTGTCATGCCAGAAGTGAGGCTCCTGGCCTTTTCTTTCTGTATAGGACACCCCACCCCCATACTCTGTGTGGCTGACTGACCTCTTAGTATTTTGTTCTACTTAGGAGTTGTTGGCCCCCAAGCTTGGATGTAGTATAGAATGATCTTCCCTACCTTGCTTTTCTTAGTATACCTCCAAGTTAAGCAGATAAGTCTTTTTCTTCTAAGGGTTCTGACATTAACCCTTCAAAGGTAATAGATAAGTATGTAAAATAACAAATGCTGAAAGTAGTACATTGTCTTGGTGATCTCTGGGCTGAGTTTCTTACTCCCTCCTCAGGTAGTAAATGGAAGTTCAACCCCACCCACTTCTCTCACCCCACATTTCTGAGATGTTCACCATATGCTTCTCAGCCTCATTTCTTAGCTTGTCATATGGAGAAAACTTAAGTGACTTCCCTCTTTAGATATTCACCATTCTAAAGATGGAGTCCCGTCTGAGTACTAGATGCTTACCTTTGTTTTCAAATGTGAAAAGGAGAATCTTGAGGCCGGGCGATACTTATTTCTATAGATGTTTGCTCAGCCTACGTGTTTGAGCCCCGTGCGCAGTAAGTGGTGAACTTCTGGAGGGTAAAGACTATCTAACTGTGTTTACATCCTTCCTACTCTGTCTTACATAAAAATGTTGCCATAATACGTGCTCCGTTAATGATTATAGAGTGACTACTGAATAGAAGGTTTCTGAACAAATAGTGTCTAAAGCAGACTTGAAACTTATGTTAACCTAATTTAAAACTGAAAATATATGAGGTATTTTGTTTGTATAGCACATAGACCAACTTCAATTTTTATAAAAAACATACAGATTATATTATCAATTTTCTAATAATAGAGCTTTGTTATTCTGTGTAATGCTTCCTGAATGTCCTATGTGACAGTTCCCTAATCTGTCTCCTAAGTTTTTCCTGAGCACTTGATTCAAATATCTTTCTTCATAGTTTTATATACATGCTCTAGACACTTAAAACTGAGCATAAATACCTGTGACAGAGACAGTATGGCTCACAAATCCTGAGGTATCCACTATTTGCTCTTTCTAAAAAAAGTTTGCTGATTCCTGATGTAAACTATTCTCATAGTCACCCCTTCTAATCTATTACTATTGCCAGTGCCCCATTCTGGCCCCTAGTTACGTTTGCTTCAGAAATTCTGCTAACTGCTTACTGAAATATTTCCTTTAATTTTCCCCTCCACTCTGCCTTTCATGTTCTTCCAAAGTGATTTACTGTACAGATTTGGTCTTATCTTGTCTCCCTGTTGTCGAGAGGGTTAAGTTGTAAGCTGATCAATTGTGGAATTGAAGACCCTTCTACCCCGCTATCTCATCTCCCACCACTACCTCCTCAGTTTAATCTCCAGAAGTATTTTTAATTCCTAAATGGGTATTAATCCCTTTCTACATGCTTTTCCATCAGCCTCTAACACCTTTCCCCAGCTTTTCTCTTGGAACATTTTGATTAATCTTTCAAGCCTCAGCCCACATGCTACTCTTCCTGCTTTGAAGGCATGCCTTATTTTTTCTGTCAAACCAATGGGTTTCTTCTCTACACTTTCACAATTATAAATAGACATACCTGACTTCAGCGTTAGTATATTCAGACTGTATGACCAGTTTCTGTGCCCATTTCTTTGCTAAATTGTGTCTTTCTTTAGTTGTGTTACTTGAAGACAATTGTTATGGCATCTTTGTATCCCCAGAAGATAGCGTATTTGTTGGAAATGTGGAATTAAAATTTAATTACATGTTAGTATTTTATATAATTATATTTGCTTGCCTGATTTCTTGAGTTTATTTAGTCAGAGTGAAAGTAAGTTTATTATTGGGAGGCGAACTATATATAATTTTAAAATTTTCTATTTATTGAAGAAAAATAAAATATATGCCTACGATGTTATTTTTTTTAAAGGCCAGACTTAATGAAGCAGAAAATAAATACAAGGATATTCAAGATAAACTGGAAAAGATCAGTGAAGAGACAAATGCACGAGCACCAGAGTGTATGGCATTGAAAGCAGATGTTACTGCTAAGAAAAGAGCCTATAATGAAGCTGAGGTGAGAGAAACTGTCCAACCTGGAATATTAAAAACTGCATGTCAAATATAAATACTTATTGTTTATTTTTAAAAGAGGTTTTGTAATTGTTTCAAAATCTGTGTTGCTTTAAGACTTTAAAAAATGTAATGTTTTCATCTGGCCGTTTATGTACTTTATTTAAAAAATGTTTTTCTGCTTATATTCAACCTCTGATTTGAAGACTGGCCAAGTGAACTTGAATGGGATGTTTTTTAATTTTTTTGTTTTACTGAAGTGTGTTTAATTTTTTGTTAGGTTTTATATAACCGTTCCCTGAATGAGTACAGAGCATTGAAGAAAGATGATGAGCAGCTTTGCAAAAGAATTGAAGAGCTCAAAAAAAGGTAAGACAGTTACTGTGCAGTTTTATGGTCGCCTCATTTGTAATAAAGCAGTCTCAGTGGAGTGGAGCACTGTATTTTCTGTATTATTGCTAAAGGGATTTTATCACGTTGCTTTATGTTTTTTAAATGTTAGGTTTTTTATTTAACATGTTCCACTTTGGATTATTTACTGTTAGTGCCGATCAGTCTTTGGAACCTGAGCGGTTGGAAAGGCAAAGAAAAATATCTTGGTTAAAAGACAGAGTAAAGGCCTTACAGGATCAAGAGAGTTCCGTCGGTCAAGAGGCTGAGCAGTTTCAGCAAGCCGTAGACAAGGACAGGGAGGAACATACTAGGGTTCGGTAAGTTTCGGCGCTTAAATTCATATAGTTTTGTTCTTTATAAGTAAGAGACAAAACTTTGGGGTTTTGTTTGTTTGTTTCTTCCACATAATAAGGGAACTTTTAAAGTCATTGTTTTGGGACTTTTAGGGTTGGATAACTCCTGGGATTTCTGTCTTCATCATTATTGCATCTTTTTTTCATGCTAAGTTTCAAGGATTTCTGATGATTTTTCCCTAGTAACACACTTATTTTCAAACAAAGGCATCTGCTTTTAGTTTTTAGGGTAGCTGGGTCTGTCTCTGGTATACAGGTACTCAGGGAAAAGGCTGAATATTTCTGTGTAACTATATCACAGATCTGCTCTGTTCTCCCGCTTTTATTTTCTAGGAGAGAAGAATTAGATGTGAAGCACACACTGAACTATAACCAGAGGCAACTGAAAGAACTGAAAGACAGTAAAACTGATCGACTGAAACGATTTGGCCCTCATGTTCCAGCTCTTCTTGAAGCGATAGAAGATGCTTATAGACGTGGGCAGTTTACCTATAAACCTGTAGGCCCCTTAGGTATTTGTCACCATTTAGTCAGGATATAATAAACATGAGAAATACGGCTTTATTTTCAGGAATGGGTCTGTTGAATCTAGTTTTAAAATTCTATTATCAAAGAGCAATGTAGTTGTATATGGATTTTAATTGTATATATTTCAAGAAATAGTAATGAGTTACCTTGAACTTTGTAGCTTTCCTTTTGCATCTTTAAAGCATAAAATAGTCAAAAGAAAAAGAACTTAGGAAAAGTAATTATAGAGTTAAATAGTCTGATTCCAACCCTCTTCCTGAATGAATGAGTAAATGAACTAACTTGAATATAACTGGTTAGTAGGGAAATCCAGTGACATTAAGATGTGTTTGGAAGATGCTCACCGCTTGAGTTTTGTGTAGCCTTTAGAAAAGGAGTCTTATTCTTGTTACTTCTGTCAAGGACGGGCAACAAGGTTTCTACGTCCTATTTCAACTAAAACCGGGTTATGTCATTATCTCTGCACATGAGACTTTAAAAATCAGTGAGTTCTCCTAAGGCATCATCTCTAATTCTCTGTGTCATTGGGTGGCAAGGATGCTGTAAACATAAACATTTTGTTAGTAAAGGACTGTATTACTGTATAAGTACAGTGTTAGGGGTTGTATTAAGCACTGTAGTATATGTCTCTTTAATTACATATGCACCTCTATGCCAGGGTCCATTTCAGTGAATGAGGCATTTTTTCCCATTATAAGTCTAAAGTTCCAGTATTTGTCAGTTTTATAGAAAATAATAATCTATTTTATTGGTTTTTAAAACACCACTCAAAGGCTGCAATACTATAAACTTACATAGAAAAACCACTGTTTTTAGAGTGGGGCAGCTTTTTCCACAGGGCTTAGTGGGTTTCCTCCCCAGTGTACTCAGTGGGTCCGTGGGATTTCCCCTGCAGTTAAAGTAAGATTTGTAATATCATTTAAGCTGCTTTATATGAAAATATTTTAAAATCATTATAATCTATTTCAAAATAAGAATTTATGGGCCTTTTAATAATTTTCTCTCACGTGTAGGAGCTTGCATTCATCTTCGAGACCCTGAACTTGCTTTGGCTATTGAATCTTGCTTAAAAGGACTTTTGCAAGCCTATTGTTGCCATAATCATTCTGATGAAAGAGTACTTCAGGCACTGATGAGAAAGTTTTATTTACCAGGGACCTCACGGCCACAGATAATAGTTTCTGAGTTTCGGAATGACTTGTATGATGTACGACACAGGTAAGGTGTCAGTAACTAAATACTGTTTCTGGTTTTGCTTAATCGTGTGCAAGGTCACAAAGAATTAAAACACCTTTTAATCATGTCTACACTACTGATTTGTAAAATTGCATCAGGCCACTTCTTTATTTTCAGGTAGATAAATAAAAGAGATACTCCGTGCCCTTGAGGTCCTTTTGTGAGGTCTATTGTGGGAGACTGTACAGTGAAATAGATGCTGATATGGGAAATGGTGCGGACCTAGCCAAAGGAAGAGGGAGGCAATGAGGAAGAACTTGGGCACTTCGAAGATTCTGTAAAGAGCTGTGGTTGTTTTCTTTGATAACCCTAACTTCCCAAAGCAAAAATACCTAAACTGACCTCTTTACTAGCAGCTGTCTGGCTGCCACTTCTAACTATGTTCATATTTTCCAATTTATTCTTTGTCAGCTTTGATAAAATTGGATTGCAAGGTGTAGTTGTGGTTGAGATGAGAGAATAATTAAATGTTAGTATGTAAGTTAGGGAAAAATCAGAGAAGAGAAGAAAATGATTTACCTTCTAACTGATGAGCTTGTTAATTGTGTTCTAGGCAAATAGAATTTTATGTGCAAAATGCATGGAGGCATGACAAATTATTCTGCAAAAACAGCATTTGCATTATACATAGCAAGGAATGGGTTAAAAGATATTTAGGACAAAATCAATAACACTTGTAACTTAAATATATAAGAGAAAGAAGAATTGAGGATGACTGCTAGGTTTTTGGCTGGAGTGGCTACCGAACAGATGTGCCAATAACTGATTTAGGAGAAATATAAGAAAAAAGTGGATTTGTTAAAGTAGTTAAGTCCTCTATTGGAATTGTTGATTTTGAGCTTTTATGCTAGAAATAAGGATTGGGAGTTAAGAGTGTTTTCTTTGCATGAGAATTTCACCTTATGTTAATTTCTAGTTTGATCCTGGCTTCTCAAACCTCATAAGAGGAAAATTTCAATTGTGCTACCAGACAACATTGCTATGGTAACAATGACCCCTGACAGGATAGTTGCAGCTGGAATGGGGGACTGTCTGTCCTGTAGACAATCAAATTTAATATGTATAAAAGCCAGTCTTTAGATTTCTACCCTAAAACCTGCTCTTCCTAATATCATCTCCGTCTTCATATTTTAGTCACTTAAGCGAAAACCCTTGTCATTCTTGACTCCTCTCTGCCACCCCCACACCCTATTGGCTATACTTTTAAAAAATATATCTAGAATCTAAACACTTCTTCAGGGTCTATCCTAGTTCTAGCTGTTATCCAGCCTCACTGGAGTATCGTAATAGGCTGATCTTTCTGCTTCTGGTTCCCTGTCACACCCACACTCAGTATGGAAGCGGAAGTGGAGCAGGTGATGTCATTCCCCTGTGCAAAGCACCCTGTTCATATTCATCCTGTTGAGGCCTTGCTGCGACCTCTGAGACCTTACGATCTCACCAGCTCTCCTGTTCTTGCTGCAGCATTCCCCTTGCTGCTCAGTCCACCAGAGCACACTGGCCTCCTGGCTTCTCTACCACCCCCTTTCAGAGCCTTTGCAACTGCTGTCCCTCAGGATGCGAGTGTGACTCTCCCATTTCTTCAGGTGTCTGCCCAGTGTCACCTGTGAGGCTTTCCTAACCTTGTTTTGTGTGAAAGGGCACTATGTCACTTTCTTTAGTCTCTGTCTCCCTTCAGAATGCCAGCTCCATGGTGAGAACGATGTAGTCTGTTTTGCTTATTTCTGTTTCATCCTCTGAACAGCACCTGGCACTTAGTAGGTGCTCAGTAAATGTCAAATTAATGAATGAATAGGTGTGAAACATACAGGGTGGGGCAAAAGTAGGCTTACAGTTGTGCGTTTATGCTCCCATTATTATTTATTAATTACTGCATCGTTTTCCACACAAACTGTAAGCCTACTTTTGCCCCTCCTTGTATATACAAAGATACCTTCTTTGTTTTAAAATTCTAGGACTAAGACGGCACTAACAATACCGTGACCGTTTCACCCTCAGCTATTCATTGCTTCTGTCCTGCTATTCTTGGTGTACTCATTCTTCACTGCTGTTAATAGCGCAGATGTTTAAAATTTTAGTTGAAAGATTGAATGTCTCTTTAGGGAGCCCAAATTATAATTCCTAAGAATATCTTTTCTCTCATATTTCCTCTGTGTTCATAATAATCTTTACGCAGTTTTTCTTGTCTCAGTAGGAAAATTGTTTAGCTTTTCAAAACGTTTTAATTAATTGACTTTTATATTTACATATGATAGCATATAAGGTTTAAGGAAGGTGTAATTATTATAACAGGTGGTAGGGCATAATGTTTAAGAATATGGGCTCTGTAAATGTTAAATCACTATGTTGTACCCCTGAGACTAATACATTGTATGCCAACTCTACTTTAATTAAAAAAAAATCAAAGAAAATCTGGGCTCTAGAGCTGAGCTGCCTAGCTTAAATCCTAGCCCAAGCATTTAGCAAGCTCTGTAACGTTGGGGAATTTATTAAACTCTGAAGCTTTCTCATCTGGAAAAAAGAAATGGAGAGAATAATATCTATTTCATGGTTGCTGTAGGATTAGATGAGCAAATAATATTCTTATAACAGTGCCTAGCACATACGATATAAATGTTTGCCAAGTAAATAAAGCAAACCTCATCAGATGTTTTCAGATGTTCCCAGATATTTGTCGTTGTCTTATTCTCATCTATGCACCCATCAATATATACAGGTGTGTTTCCATATAACTGAAGTGTGATGGTAACCCTTCTATGTTTTTGGCTCCTAGAGCTGCGTATCATCCCGAGTTCCCGACGGTACTGACAGCTCTGGAAATAAATAACGCAGTTGTTGCAAACAGCCTGATTGACATGAGAGGGATAGAGACCATCCTGCTAATCAAAGTAAGACCAGATGCAGCTGTGTTTACATTATTTAAAATACTTCAAAACTGAAGTGGGTTACATAAGATGCCCTCCCATATCACGGAGCTGTTACTGTTTGTCGTTGTGCTTTTACCTCATAGGAAATCTGTAGAATAGTGTAGAGCTGGTGGGTTGTGTGCTTTCTGCCCCAGGGAACTTCATTACTTTCAGCTTCTTTGTAAAATAATTTCACAAGTATATATTGTTTTGATGCATGATGCTATAGATTTTTTTGTTCATGATTTCTTGATTGCCTGCCAAATTCATTTTTTATTTACTCTTACAGATACACATATTATTATAATTCTACTTTTTAAACAAATACTTGACTTCATATTTTATGAATCTATTTTCTTAAAAACTTAAGTGCTGTAAAATCAGTATTTAAGTGCTGTAAAATCATGTATTTTTATGTACTTGTTTGATTTGATCACCATATTGTGTTTTATCTATTGGAATAAATTTGCTGGGAAGGAATAAGGAAATTTAAAACAGAAATATGTAATCAAAACAAACACATTAGAGTCTGTTTTTTCTCATTAATGAAACTGAGAAGTAATGGTGTTGGTAATCCAGGTGTGTGTGTGTGTGTGTGTGTGTGTGTGTGTCTATTGCACATTCATGTTGTAATTCTTGTGGGCTTGGCTCTATTATATTTTAGAAGGATATGTGAAAGAAAATAATGAAATTCTAGTGTAAAGAGAAGTAATGGTGTTGGTAATCCAGGTGTGTGTGTGTGTGTGTGTGTGTGTGTGTCTATTGCACATTCATGTTGTAATTCTTGTGGGCTTGGCTCTATTATATTTTAGAAGGATATGTGAAAGAAAATAATGAAATTCTAGTGTAAAGATCTGTGCCGAGAGAGGTTAAGCCTATTTCCCCTTTTTACTTCCTCTAGGGCTTAAGTATTTCTAGGCTTGTTTTTTCTAACATAATTCAGTATATTAATGTTTATTGGAATTTGCTATTCAGTTGCATCATTTCTAGGGTGGAAAAGTCATTTAGAAAAAATAAGACTTGCATGAACTGGCTTAAAGTAAATATTTTCGTGGGAAAAGTTACTTAAAATAATTTTTAATTTTAAATGGATAGCAATATTAGAATTTAAAAATAAAATGTATCAGTTTGTCATAAAGCATTATTTGTTGTGCTCTTTTGAAGACCCTTAATAGTTTTAATTCTTTGAATCTTGAAAGTGGTTTTTAAAATTATTTTGTTTAACTTCATGGAATTATTTAACTTGAATGTTTAAATAAAAAATGTTTGATTCTTAATGACAGGTAGCATTTTGAAATTGTGTGCATCAGAAATGCTTTGGCATAACTTTAAAAAAGTATTCTTCCTCTGTTGCTTTTAGAATAATTCTGTGGCTCGTGCAGTAATGCAGTCCCAAAAACCACCCAAGAATTGTAGAGAAGCTTTTACTGCTGATGGTGATCAGGTTTTTGCAGGACGCTATTATTCATCTGAATATACAAGACCTAAATTCCTAAGCAGGGATGTGGATTCTGAAATAAGGTTGGTGTCCAGTGTAGCTGTGCTATGTTATTTCTACTGCTTCCTTTGGAGACCGTACATATTTTATTAGGTGGCATGTGTTCTTTCTCCATGTAGAAAGTAATTAAAAACTAAGGAGAAGCACTCTATGAAAATACATAACAGAATTCGTCCTACCCAGAAAAAACTTAGCCATTTTGTTTATGTAAATTATGTTGATTCCTTCAATTTATTCTAAATATTCAGAAAAATGTTTTAATAACAATATTATTTGTTGGTTTTTATTTTTGGATTAAGCTCTAAGTTTTAAAGTTTGTTTATTTGGTAAATTTTTATTGTTTTAGCAAAATTACTATTTGTTAATGTATAGATTTGTATATGATAAACATTTCTTATTAAATCCTGAGGAACCATTTTAAATTTTTGCATCTGCCCCATTTTTACCAGAAATACCACAATTATTATTCTTTCCTATTTTTATCATTTGTTTATAATTTATTCAGTTAACATTTTTTATTATTATTTTTTAAATTTTGAGAATTCCAGCAAGGTAGCACAGTTATAATATCATCAAATTTAAGGTGCTATGTTATTTTACATATTAGAAAAAAGCAAAAAGCTGCTAATTGAACCATGGACTAAAAGATGATTTCAGAGATGTTAAAATGTGGGGAAACATGCATCTTATTAAATATGGCACACGCTCTTCGTCAGAGAAGTTTTTCTTAACTGCACAGTGGATCGTGGTTGTCTTTCACCAGGCGCAGGACTTTGGGCGACAGGTGCCTGTGGTGAGGCAGGAAAGGATCACTTCTGGAGGCAGTGACTGCTGACAGGAGACCTCATGGCTTTGGCACCTGCCCGTTACCCTCCCCCCCTTTTCAAGCCCCCCTCCCCTTCACTCTCACTCCCACACTCATAGCATTTATTCACCGATGTGAATAAATGGTGAACTGACTGTCAGTTTTAGCTTTCCATCCCTCGACCCCTTTGTGCAGGTCTTCCCATCCTCTCCCCTAGTTGGTTGGTCCAGCTGTTGAAAACTTTATAGAATGCAGTTCAATTGTCATTTCTCCCAGCTGCTTATGTTCCATGGTGCTATGGACATACAGTGTCCTGTTCACATTTTAATGTTATGGTTTATTTCCTAATTTTTTTCTCTTTTGTTTGAGTCCGTCATGTCTTAATTCTGTTTCTCCCTCTGTCTATAACTATGTACAGTGTCCGCCACACAGAAATCGTATCATAAATACATATTAATGGAATAAATAAAATTTGACTCCAGTTTAGATATTTTTTGAAATCCATAGGGTTTTGAAAATAAGCTATTAAAAATAAGCTTTTCTTCGTAAAGACCTGAAGTATTTGTCATATTCAGAAATAGTTTTAAATTATTTTGTACCCTTTCCTCTATCAAGTGAATTGGAGAATGATGTTGAAAATAAGAAGGCCCAGATAGTAAATCTTCAGCAACATTTGTCTGCCCTTGAAAAGGATATTAAACGCAATGAAGAATTTCTTAGACGGTACCAACTACGTTATAAAGAGTTAAAGGTAACAAAAAAATATACATCATTTTGTTTTCTCAACTTGTCACTTCCAAGCTATTTTTTAAGTTCTACCATTTATTTAGTTAAGGAGTAGTTCTCAGACTTTCTGGGCTCAATCCCCTTTACAGTCTTAAAAGAGCTTTCACATATGTGGGCTTTACCTATCAGTACTTACATTGTTAAAAATTAAAATTTAAGAGTATTTATTAGTTCACTTAAAAACAACAAACTCATTATTTGTTAACATAAGTAACATTTTTATGAAAAATAACTTTTCCAAAACCAAAGCTATTTAACAAGATTGACATTTTTATATTTTTGTAGTAAATATCTATTATCTGGCTTAATAAAACTCAACTGAATTGTGAGGCAACCTTCTGCAATCAGTCTGTTGCAATAGTATACGTCATAAGAGTTGTAACCTCCTGTGAGAAAATCATGGTAAAATGCTGAATGATGTCTTAGTGTTTCATGAGAATAATTTTGACCTCATGAACCCCTGAAAGAGTTCCAGAGGCCCCCAGGAGGTACTTGAATTGCACTCTGAGACCCGCTGAATTAGAATAATCTTTCCGTAACTCTATCTGGATATTTCAGAACAGTTTTTCTCAGTGGATTCAACATTGTCATCATTTTAAATGGGAAGATGGAGTACTTACATCTTTTTGGTGTTGGAATGGATTACCAGTGAGGGTGTATGGCAGACTTGATCATGTAACTTACTTTGGTTCATTTAATACTAATGTGTCTCTTTCATTAAATACAGAGTCCTTCTATAGCATAGAGTAGAACATCGTGGATTAATATATCCTTTCCAGGGTCTTTATTTTTAATTTATTTTTATGTTACTAAAATTTAAATTCTTTCTTTCAGATGAAAATAAGAAAAAATATTTCTGAAATTCAGGAACTTGAGAATATAGAAGAACACCAGTCTGTAGATATTGCAACCTTGGTAAGATTTTTCCCTCAGTTTAATGTTATAAAAGACAAGATGGTGATTTAGTTTAACAGCATCTGCTCTCAGCTTTTTTTTTACCCATTTCCTTGAGGCTGCTTTTTACGATTGCAGTCTCCACTTAGACATAAGGTAGAAACTACCTTGTGCATGGCCTCAGGTTCCTTATTGTTTTGTCTATATGACTTGCATATATAATAATTTTGTCATCTACATGAAATGAAACTTTACCAAAGCTTAATTGTGCTCTTAAAATTAAACAGTGACATTTTAAACCATGTTGCCTCACATAGTGTTTTCAGAGTTAATTGGTCTCAGTAGTAATGTACATCCTTTAGTCAGTTATGTTTGGTCTCTTTGCACGGTTTCTTTTCCCCAAGTTAATAGTTTTCATTTTAATTGACCCCATATTGATTATTCTATTTTTATTTTTTTCAGGCAGCGGGTTTGATACTCAGCTCAGCTTCTCTGAGCTGTGATAAACGAAGTAGATAGATCGCAGAGCCTCGTTCAGGTGGCGAGGCGCTGTTTAGCCCGTGCTGCCCGCCCTGTCAGCTGCTGGCGGACACAGGCATGAACCAGACAGGTTAGGTCCCCGCAGCCGCGGAGCTTTACACTGAGCTCATGGAAATTTGTCTTCACTTTTTATTAGTAACCTTGTTGCCCACTTGTTATTTTTCTGCTTTAATTCATTTTACTGATAGACTAAGTTTCTAAAAGTTATGGACTACGACTTATTTTTGTTTACTCAGCATCTAGCACATGGTCTTACACAAGGTAGATATTTAGATGCACTGTATTTTGAAAGAAAAGTGAGTAGATAGAATAAAAGTTACTTCTTTTCATTATGCACAATGTAGTTTTAATGTGTGTCCTAGTGATATCTCTTATTTTTGAACCTGTTTTCTTCTTCCTAATTTACCATCGAGAGTATGAAAATATCCTAGCAGTCTTTGAATTTCTTTTATCTGATGTGCCTGTAGTTTCTCCTCTCTTAGAATTGTTTGTTCTATTTTTCTATCTGATGACAAAAATATTTTAGTTAACTCTATATGCTCTGTAAATGTAACCAGGAAGATGAAGCTCAAGAAAATAAAATCAAAATGAAAATGGTGGAGAAAAGTATGGAACAGCAAAAAGAAAATATGGAATATCTTAAAAGTGTGAAAATAGAAGCAGAAAATAAGTATGATGCGATTAAACTGAAAGTTAATCAGCTGTCAGAGCTAGCAGATCCATTGAAGGTATGTATTATTGTTATTCTATAATATATGTATCTTAGGTTTTAATTTTATATCTACGGTGTACTCATTAGATATTACCCTAACAGAATTTATGTTTAAATGTTAATATAACCACATAAAAATAGAATGTAAACCAAATTTTCATCGTTAGATCAATTAGAATGAAATGCTTCTGCTCATGCCTTTATGAGAATAAATTGCCAAGTTTCTGTTTGTCCCAGAAGATTACAGAATTTTCCCCCTCTTTATTTTGATTTTTTTTTTTTTTTTTAATTTTTTTAGAGCCAGAGCCAGGGACATCTTGTCTGTCTGCATTGTTTCTGTGCTTGCCTGTTCTGTTGTCCCACTTTCCTTCAGTAACTCAAGCCAACTTGAAATAAAGTGCTGCTCAGTTCCTGTTGATTGGCATGTCCCAGTTATGTATGTTCCAGCTTGAATTCAGTTGACGCTTTTTAAAACCAAATTTCGGGAAATAAAATTATTCAGAAGTTAAATTGTGTAAATTTCCCTGAGTTGTTTATTAGATTACTTACCAATATTCCCTTGTCATTATCATTTTTATGGATAGCTTAATTATTTTCAGAATTTCAAACTTTATAAGACAGTGAGAAGAATGAATAGTATATTTTAAGAGGAGCGGGGTATTTGATGATATCACTCTAACATACCCCCCCCTTTTTTTTTTGCGGGAAAATTATTACCCCCTGTGTATCAAAATGTGTTTAGATATTTTTAGAGTTTAAAAGAATTTGCATGCATAAAAAATTTTACTGTAATTATGTTTACTGAAAATTTTAAAAGACGTAATAGAGTTGAGAGAACATTAGCGTAAGTTAGAAGTTTTGCTGCATAGAAATAGCTTTCCCCTATTTGTGGTAGGTTTCTCTGTAGTTACTGTTCATGGAGCTGGGATTTCTGCGTGCCGTTATAACCTAAGATGGATTAATTGA